GTTTTTCTTTAAATAATTAAACATTTTTGGTGAACCAAATTATGAATCTAAACCAATCTTGAATGTAGATAGAATTCAAGTAGTAAACAAACCCAAAAAGTATTATCAAAATCGGTCTAGCCATTTGGAAGGAGCTTAGTCATAATATAACAGATCAGCGGTAGGCAGCGGCTTGGCTTTGCCCCTGGCATTGCTGAATTCCATGGGTGACGGCAACCACTCACCATCAGGTGGGCCGAATGCTCGTCTGCCAACAAGGGCAATAAAAAAAAAAAGTTGGGCTAAAAAATTCGTAGGTTAGCATAGAATTTTTTTGATACAATTTGATCTTATTATTCAGTATTTGCCTTCGAGGGCGAGACAATGATTATAGCGGTCATACAGTTTTTAGATACTATTTTTATTAGTGCGATTTGTCTTTAATATCAAAATAGGCTTCAGTTTCGGCGATTACCTCTTCACAGCGCAAAATTTATGTCAAGCGGACATTCTCTTGAGGTCTGAGAACAAGAAAAGTCGCTGGGGTTCAGATTTGGAAAATACGCTGGATGCAGAAACAATTCGAAGCGAAATCTTACAGTTTTGCCATCGTTTTCATTGATTTGTGACACGGTGCATAGTCTTGATAAAACAGCACTTTCTTCTTCAAATGAGGCGGTTTTTCCGTGATTTCATCCTTCAAAAGGTCCAATATCGCTACGTAATCGTCACTATTTATGGTTTTTCCCTTTATAATATAGTTTATGAATATTATAATATACGCAACAAGGCTTGGCTTCAGTAGTATTTTTTTTACCAAAAAGCAATGCTTTATTAACACACGAAATCCACTTAAAAACTCACCAGCGAATTGTTAACAACTAGTGGCCCCTAGAAGTCGAAATTCGACTTTAATCAGTTGAAATTTTATGCTTAAACATTATTATGGTTCTATTGTCATAGATATAGCCAAAACTACACTATAGACGAATATTAATAAAGATAAACAATATTAATCTATTCTCAATTTGACACAAACTTAAAGCAATAACAAAAGTTTGACAATAAACAAAGAGTCTATGTGTGTGTGTGTCAAATACATGGTAGTGTGTGTAATGTTTTCTTTATTGATTTAATGTATCTTTTATGCATTATTTTAAAGAAAATTAGCATTGTGCACTTCTTCTCTATATTCTCTATAAGTGTGTAAAATTTCATACTCCTCCGTCCGCGCAATTTTCGTAAAAAGGTATACCAAGTTTTTGCTTCACGTATTAATGTATAGATTATCAAACTAGTAAAAATTTCTACACTCAAATTGACAAACTGATAGTACAACAGCTGCCAAATTTATACACGTGTCTTTTGAAGGTCAGGGCTACCTACAAAAATCATATGGATTTAATAATTGTAGCGCCATTTATGTATCAGCTTACGAACTTTTCAGTCCTGTTACACACGCACAAAGTATTACTTATTTAAGATGTACGTGCACATAGTCCGGCTTAACGAGAACCGCTATTACGGCACATTTGATATGACAATATGCGGTCCGGTAACATCAGGTGTGCCGCGAGCATAAAAAATGCACAGGGTTGAACGTAAAAACATATTTTCTAAAGTCTTGCAAGGAAATAAAACAATTGTTTTTTTTTTTGTGAATGAAGCTCATTTCTCGAGTAGTGAATTAAAGTTTAACTGTGGTATTTCATTTTACGATTGCATTAAAAGCGTAGGACACGCGTTAAGCTGGAAATAGTTTTTGTTTAAGACTAGACGTATCTTGCTGCTTTGCCCGTTTAATATAATTTTTTTTATTACTTAGATGGGTGGACGAGCTCAGAGCCCACCTGGTGTTAAGTGGTTACTGGAGCCCATAGACAACTATAACGTAAATGCGCCACCTTGAGATATAAATTCTGAGCTCTCAGTATAGTTACAACGGCTACCCCACTCTTCAAACCGAAACGCATTACTGCTTCACGGCAGAAATAAGTGGGGTGGTGGTACCCACCCATGCGGACTCACAAAGGTCCTACTACCAGTAAGATACCACCACCATACATTCCGGTTTGAAATTTAGCACAGCCGTCAAAAGAGGAGATGTCTGAAGGAGGGTGGCGGCACTCACATAAAATATGAGCTCCAGTAACTTTACACTAAATGGGCCATTAGTTGTTTCAATCATTTAAACCATAAACAAAGATACGACTTATATTTAACATTTCCATTGCCGGCTACAAGCCTTTCAAAAAAAAAAAAAAGATTTAATACGTATCACGTGGACTTAGCGTGTATAAAAACGGTATCCATAGTTCATGCGTTCGACAAACGAACACAACATGGATTATTAAAATTAATAAAATTAAAGAGACAAAAAACATTAATTTCAAAATACGTGCCTATTTAAACTCACGGTAGATCCTAAATTAGACAAACATTTGTAGAGAATTTGAGTGTTGAGAACTATTGTATTTTTCATTGCACGTAATGTACTTCAAATAGGTAGCTGAAGCGCGGTTCAACGCGAGAAAGAAAACGTGTGTCAGCTGTTGTCATTGCGTATTACATTACGCGCTCATGAAATATGAAATTATTAAAAAATACCTTTTAAATTTATTAAATGTTTAGTAATTTGTTTTATTGATTAGATGGGTGGACGAGCTCACAGTCCATCTGGTGCTCAGTGGTTACTGGAGCCCATAGACATCTGCAACGTAAATGCGCCACCCACCTTCAGATATAAGTTCTAAGGTCTCAAGTATAGTTACAACGGCTGCCCCACCCTTCAAACCGAAACGCACGTTTCACGGCAGAAAATAGCCGGGGTGGCGGTACCTACCCGTGCGGACTCACAAGAGGTCCTACCACCAGTAATATTAGTAAATGTTTTCAGTTTATTCGAAGATATTATCCCACCGCTCTCTTCCAACGTTCTAATACCACTGCAGGACTAAGCGGATCCAAAACCCGCAGCAAATTTAAATAAGAAATGTATATTAGAACTTCGAGTTCGACTTACTTCCAACCATTTATGTTAGGGTAGCAACAGCCAATAGTAACTGGTTAAAGGGATGCGTCGGTAACCATTATAAAATGGTAAAAATCTGATTCACGGCAACGCCATTTACGAGATCATAGGGACCGTCTGTGTAACGATCAACTACACTAGTCTGTTGGGAGAATCTTTCATTGCCGTTTCCCCTAAGGTTTATCATTAAACGGATGATAAATATTTTGAATCATTAACTTTGTATTATATCCAATTCTCGAGTTTTTCTCACTATCTATACCGCTATAGTACATTACAGACAGTATAGACAAAATAAATTACAGAAAAAAAGTTTTGACTAAGTTCAATTCGAATTCTCAGCTTTAATTAATTGACTTTGAGGCTTTAAACCTATAGCTGTTGTAGTTACTACACAATAAAACTCATTCTCCTTTTATTCTATTAATATAATTGTGATTTTGCTAAAGCTGGTCAAATATTTATCTTATTTCATGCCAATCTTCATTTATTAGTCGAAAGAAAAACGCACATTCGTAAAAAAAAAAACAATGATTTAATACTAATCTTAAAAGGTTCAGTGAATTTTCGCTCATAGTTTAAATACTTAGTGTCCAAACATTAAAAAAAATGTTTAAGCGGCCGGAAATTACCGCATCCATGTTGTCCATCGTTTTTATGATCCACGACTAAGTAGGATGACGTCGATAATACCCGAACAGCGCTGAGGATTGGAAACTCGGAGTCGCATAACGACGGATAATGTCATATATGCCATTATTTATATGTCGTGTACGCTTTCATATAACTCATAATGAAGCAGCTTAAAAAGCGACTTTACGACTTGAATATAAGCGTTAACGGCCGCCTGGTGTAGTGGTAATTGACATGGTCACTACACGAGGGGGTCGCGGGTTCGAATCCCGCCAAAGGAAGATATTTGTATGATAAATATAAAAAAAATGTCTTTTCCAGGGTTATGGATGTATATTAAATATATGTATTTGTATAATAAAAATCTTACATTTATTTCCGTTATCTGGTACCTATCTGTAACACAAGTTCTTTACGAACTTAGCACGGGACCAGTTAACGTGGCGTGATTGTTAGTAAATATTTGTTAAAAAAAAATATTATTATTATTAGAAACAAAAAATAATTTATTCATACAATGAGACAATACAGTAAAGTGTATCTGTATATTGAAGATAAATGTACGAAGAGAAAACTGAACTAACAGTTTTTTTTTTATCCTGTTATAACTTGCCATAACATTAGATCGAAGTTAATAAATTATGATATTACTATCACTTGTTGAGGCGTGTACACATTTTCAAGTTAATCATACGTCTTGAATTGAATGAACAGTACGTTCAAAGATTCCTTTAATGAACCGAACGTATATTTTTTTTGGGTAGATGCAGCGGTGTATTTACACTAGGGGCAATCGGGGCAAGTGCCCAGGGCGGCTTAGGGCGGCAAAATTTTGAACGTGAAAAACATTTATAAGTGTTAGAAAAAAAAAAACAAATATTTATTTATGTTTTTGGAATATGTATATAATAATAATATTATTTTAATTTTGAAAAATAAAATATATAAACTATAAGCTTAAGTAAAATGCCAGTATTCGGGCGGCTTTTTTTTCCGGAGCCCAGGAGCGGCATTAAGTTTAAATCCGCCCCTGCTTAGATGGTTGGACCAGCTCACGATCCACCTGGCGTTAAGTGGTTTTTGAAGCCCATAGACATCTAAAACGTAAATGCCGCCACCCACCTTGAGATACGAATTCTAAGGTCGCCGTTTTTAAATTACAACGACTGCCCCACCCTTCAAACCGAAACGCATTACATAATATCCGCAGACATTTTCATCTAATAAGTAGACTTCCCTTAATAACGAAAAGCTCAAAAGTTGAGTTTAGAATCGCGAAAATATTTCACAGAAAACTGCACGAGAGTTCGTAGTTTGAAAACTTTTAATTAAATCATCGTTTTGTCGTTGATTTCAGGATGCGGAAACCGTAGAGAAACTTAACGAGAGCGGAGAGCTGCGGAAAATGCTGAAGCCTTACAAGGTAAATTCCTGGCCTTCATCTTCTACCATTCTTTTTACTGGTGGCAGGACCTCTTGTGAGTCCGCGCAGGTAGGTACCACCACCCTGCCTACTTCTGCCGTGAAGCAGTAATGCGTTTCGGTTTGAAGGGCGGGGCAGCCGTTGTAACTATACTTGAGGTTATATCTCAAGGTGGGTGGCGCATTTATGTCGTAGATGTCTTTAAAGTATTATGTAACCAATTCCGACAACTTTATTTTAGCAAATAGGTATGGGTGTACGCTCGCTGTCAGCGACGGCGAGCTCACAGCCCATCTAATGTTAAGCGATTACTGGATTCCATATAAGTCATCATATAAATGACGTGAATTCGAAGTCTTCAATGTAGATAACGGCGGCTTACTATTGCAAGGACATCTATATATATAAAAATGAATTGTTGTTCGTTAGTCTCGCTAAAACTCGAGAACGGCTGGACCGATTTGGTTAATTTTGGTCTTGAATTTCTTGTGGAAGTCCAGAGAAGGTTTGAAAGGTAGATTAATATGAAAATGCTCGGAATTAAATAAAAATAACAATTTTGTTTTTCCTTTGACGTGTCCCCCGTCGGACGGATTTCTTTTGTTTGCTTTAAGTTTATTTTATACAAAAGTTTAGATCTTTTATTTATCGATTGAAGCACTACGAAGTCTGTCGGGTCAGCTAGTTATATATATATTTATTTATTATTATTTGACAATGCCTTAATTTTTCAGAGTCCCGACGCGTGCACCACGTGTCAGATGTGCGGTGGCTTCCGTCTTCTACCCTGCAGGATCTGCAATGGATCCAAGAAGAGCCTCCACCGGAACCACTTCACTGCCGAATTCGTGGCGCTCAAATGCATGAACTGCGATGAAGTTGGTCTCGTGAGGTGCGAGGCTTGCTCTTAGTACAGAAACCGTTTCAAGGACGCGAGCGATTTGTGATAATTCAATTCAAAATTTCAATAGATTTAAGATTATAAATGTAGTAGTAGTAGTAGTTTGTAAGTAGTTATAAAGTTACAATACTAAACAATAGAGTTTATAGAATATATTATGTTGTTTAGCATAAGACCGATAATGCGTTGTTTAAGCTGCTCAACACGACGGATAAAGTTTAGCTATGTTAATAACGTAGCTAATATGTATAGGTACATACATCGCTGACAGTGGAAAGTGTCAATGCTTTCGACTCAAAACTTTTCATTCAATGTAATCGCTACAAAAGGGTACGAGAATGATGTACTACCTCAGTCTGCACGGAAAATGGGACCTTGTTATTAGAAGCACAAGCTTAGATATCGATAATGACAAATTTCGAATTGCGATCGTTTACACGTGTATTCATTCGCACGATATCGATTTTTGCGGGATTACATCGGATCTGTTTCATTAATGACGAGCCATTCGATACACTCGGCACGCGTAACGTTACAGCGATTCCAGATTTTTTGTGAACCCGTTTAGAGATGCGGAAACCGCTTACCCGATTCGTGAGCTGTTAAAGTAACTAGTTTTGTTCCGGCAGTCGAGATGCGACCTTAATGACAGACGCCCGAAGATACAGAATCGTTTTATTGATACCTCTTTTCATCTTTGGTTATTGATTTTTATTTCGCATCCAATATCAATGAAAGGGGAAGGATTGGTTAATCTCTTTCGTTTTTCCCTATTTATTTACATGGACGTATACTTACAGATATAAAGTCCATTATGTTCTTAAAGTCTTAAAGTCGTTGTGGCCTAAAGAATAAGACGCCTGGTTCATTCGTATCTAACGATATGCCTTGGTGTTCGAATCCCGCAGGCGGGTACCAATTTGTCTAATGAAATATTGAAGGAATAACATCGTGTAATAAAAATCAAACACACAAAACTATAATTTGCGTAATTACTGGTGGTAGGAACTCTTGTGAGTCCACACGGGTAGGTATCACCGCCCTGCCTATTTCTGCCGTGAAGCAGTAATGCGTTTCGGTTTGAAGGGTGGGGCAGCCGTTGTAACTATACTGATACCTTAGAACTCATATCTCAAGGTGGGTGGCGCATTTACGTTATAGATGTCTATGGGTTGCAGTAACCACTTAATACCTTAATACACATAAATAAAAAAAAAACAAAATGTGTGCAATTCACACGTGGTAGAAGTGAAACCTTCCAAAATTAAAATACAATTATCCTAAACGTCTTAAGTATATGTAAAATTTTGTCATTAGTAAATTATTGTAAGGTAACGCCCTCTGTGAATTGATATTTTAATTTCACGTATAATCCTAAATTAAAATTCACTACAAGAGCTTTCATACACACGTTAGTATTAAAAAATCTCACAGATGGCGCTGTATTAAATAGTATGTATATTTCTGTCTCATTCTTTGCTGGCTTCATCCTACACATTTTTGTATTTGTGTCTCTTACCTGTCGTTTTTTCCGTTGCATCCGGTTTGAAATCACAACGATTCTAAAGAAGTTTTCACTTCAAAAAATCTGTCTAAAATCTTGAGTTGCTAACGATGTAAGTCGCGTTATTCTCTAACATTGCTATTTGAAGAAACAGTAGGTTGTGAGAATTCGTGCGAACGTAACCTTTGAACGAACAGCTTCTCTTCAGAAGTTTGCCAGATAAGATGCGTTGGTTCGTCGCAATAGCCCAACGTAAAGTTGACGGATACGTGCTGTAGCTTCTGCTAATAAAAACTTAACGGATAAAATCACAAAACTACGAGTAAAAATAAATAATATTATTACAATAAATAATTTTTACTGGTGGTAGGATCTCTTGTGAGTCCGCGCGGGTGGACACCAGCACCCTGTCTGTTTCTGCCGTGAAGCAGTAATGCGTTTCGGTTTCAAGGGTGGGGCAGCCGTTGTAACTATACGTGAGACCTTAGAACTTATATCTCAAGGTGGGTGGCGCATTACGTTGTGGATGGGCTCCAATAACAACTTAACACCAGGTGGGCTGTTAGCTCGTCCACCCATCTTAGCAATAAAAAAATAAAAAAAAAGAATTGTTAAAAAAAACTAAAACACACGCTTTATATAAAATTCAACTAAAAATAGAAAATAATTTTTTATAAATTTAAATTGAAATTGTGCTTTTTAAGATATTATTGAAATAATAATTCTTCTACTCATATCTGTAGATTTTTTTTATAACTAATAACACCATGCACCCCACGCTTTTTTTACAATAAAATATACTTTTTTTACACTATTTTCAATTTAAATTTATTAAAATATATTTTTTTAGTTGAATTTTATATAAAGCGTGTTTCTTAGTTTTTTTAAACTATCATTTATTTTTCATTTTTTAGTTTGTTTTTTTTTTGCAAAGTGAATAATGGAATAATCTTATCAAATTAGTGTATTGTCATCGGTCCTCGATAAATCTACAAAGTTTGAATGAAATGTGGCCGTTTAACGTGGGTCAAAATCGTGTCTAAACGAGTCAGTTACAGACATACAAACATACATACAAGTGAAGCTAATATAAAGCGTGTAAAAACCTTTGGTTCTTGATGAATATTTTATATAATAACGCAATGTCGTCAAACATTTTGGCAAGCGTTAAAATGTTATATTTGTCTCCCTCTTTCGGTCTAAGTTTGAGCGTGTAAATTTTTTTTTTCACTCTGCTTAGGAATAAGTTTCAAAGTTGTAAATAAAATTATGTTATTTCGAAAACTGAATAAACATGTATCTTCTATTTTAGATCTATTTAAGCTAACTTTAAATCAAAGATGAGGAAAGATAGTGACGCATGCTTTTTTTTTAACAAAAACACTATTTTATAATTGACTTATTATTGTCAATTTCGAAGCACTGTCTTCTGTGTGTTTCACAAGTACACGAGTGAGAAAAAGAATTAATAAATTCATTTATGTATTTTAATTATATTATATTATAGTGTTTTAAAAATTTTAGAATATTAAAACAATCACAATTTTATCTATTTTATTTAGAGTAAATTTTATTTTTATGAAAATATGATTTATGTTATAATTTTTGCTCAAAATTTACTACGGGCATTTTAGTTTTTACCAACGTAAGCTAATGTATTTCCTTTATTTTCAAACTGTATTGTTATCTATGAGACCATTTTTAGGGTTAATATTTCTTCAATTAATAATTTATACTACAATAAAGTTTATACTACAGTCAAGGAAGAGTATCACTGGTGGTAGGACCTCTTGGGAGTCCGCACGGGTAGGTACCGCCACCACCCCGCCTATTTCCGCCGTGAAGCAGTAATGCGTTTCGGTTCGAAGGGTGGGGTAGCCGTTGTGGCTATGCTGAGATCTTGGAACTTATATCTCGAGGTGGGTGGCGCATTTGCGTTGTAGATGTCTGTGGGCTCCAGTAGCCGCTCTGATACAAGATACGAAAATTTAATTAATGTTCGAATCAATATAATAGGTTGGGGGAAAAGTTTCTTCGCATTGTTTAAGAAAATTCACTACATATAATAAATAGTTTATTTACATTTAACTAAAGTATGTAGGCACCATTTTGTTCGATAACTTCTTACCATCTTGTACGTAGGGACATGATCCCATTGCTGTAGAAATTTTGGGGCTTCTGATCAAAATACCCCGACAATTGGTTTTGGCAGTCCTCTCGTGATGTTAACCTGACACTGCCTAAAGAATTCTGAAGATACCGAAACAGGTGGAAATCTGAAGGTGCAAGGTCAGGACTATACGGCGGATACATTAACACCGTATTTTTTTTATATCGAAACAACATAATGTATGTGAGAATATGTTTTCTAAGCCAGCTCTGATTGGACTTTCGTTTTTACTACGCTGTTATTACAACGACCCAATCACACCCAACGGCACTGAACAAACAAAGTTTAGTTTAGTTTAATAAAAAAAGTATTTAAGTGTTTGTTCTTGTTTGCTGCACTTATTACTAAACTAAATTATTACTAGACTTAAAGACAAAAACTAATTTATTGTTCCTTCATGGACGATTTGCCGTAGTTATGTCAAAAGAAAACGGCGGACATTTTTAAAAATTAAAATCGCTTAACAAATGAAAATCAGCTTTTGGCATGCGTACTCTTCATTCAGAGCTCACAGGTACGGTCACTGGTGCTCACGATAGACAGGGTAGGCTAACCAAGTTTACTAATAGTCGAATTCGAAGCGAAGTTGACTATTTGACGCGAAGTGAAGTGAAGAAGATGTGAAGTTTAAATTTATATAAAGCGTTTCGCATTAAAATTGGGGATGATAAAATTAAGCTGATCCAGAGAAAGCACCTGGCTATCTTAGCCTTGTTATCATTATTATTGTCATCATCATTATTATTATATTATTATTAAACATTAACTTAATTACTCAAGAATCTTGCTTTCGCTTGATGGCTTTAGTAGTAATATTCTGATAAATTAATTCGAAATATAAATTTTTAACACACTATATTTGTTAGATAGATTATGAAGTTAAATGAATTGTATGATCGTTTAAAAAAATATTATATATAATATATTAAAAGATACTCTAAATACTCGAAAATAGTATGCCATAAATAAGATGCAATGTTGTTTTCTATTTTTCTACAGAATTAATTCTAGATTTCTCTAAGCACTTTGTAAAAAAATATTCTAACGTATTTGTTGTATTTTTAAGTAATAATTGTAATTAATTTTTTTAGAAAATAAACTATCTATTACTAAGATTTTCGTCTTTTATTTTCGTGATAAACATCAAAACCGTATGCTAATGAAATTATTGTTCCTACCCTATATGTAAAATCTTTCCTTATATTGTTAGAATGGTTCATGACCCACCTAGTATTGCCCCTTATTTATCGTCATGCAATAACATTATAAGTCATATTTCAGTAAAATGAGTTACAATGTTATTCCTTGCATCTGTTATTATCCAGCGCGAGTAGCTACCGCTATCCTGCACTTCGTAACGTAGCCGTCATGCGTTCGTAATTGAA